CGCCTGGCGAGATCTTCCGACCAAATAAAACAATCGGCAATCGCGAGACCAGCGGTCGCAAAAAAAGCATTCGAGGTTTCGAGGAGCTTCATGAGAGGCGGGGGCCGCTGGCTGGACGCCGTCCAAAATAAATCGAGGAAAAAATACGGAGAAATACGCTATTTCAAACGCTGATATAAGAGATATGGTTTCATAAAATAAATCTAGGACGAAATACGGAGCAATATGCTATTTCAAACGCTGATATATGAGATATGGTTTCATAAAATAAATCAAGGATAAAATACGGAAAAATACGCTATTTCAAACGCCGCTATATAAGAGAATGTTTCGTAAAATAAATCAAGGACAAAATACGGAGAAATACGCTATTTCAAAGGCTGATATATGAGATATGGTTTCATAAAATAAATCTAGTACGAAATACGAAGAAATACGCTATTTCAAACGCTGATATGTGAGATATGGTTTCATAAAATAAATCTAAAACGAAATACGGAGACATACGATATTTCAAACGCTGATATATGAGATACGGTTTCATAAAATAAATCTAGTACGAAATACGGAGAAATACGCTATTTCAAACGCTGATATATGAGATATGGTTTCATAAAATAAAAATAAAACGAAATACGGAGAGATACGCTATTTCAAACGCTTATATATAAGACAAGGTTTCATAAAATAAATAAAGGACGAAATATGGAGAAATGCGTCGTTCCAAACGTTAATATTCAGGACAAGTTATTGTAAAATTAATTGCTTTTAAAGTATTGAGAAGGGTATGATTTTATAAGCTACTTTTTGAGGGCCTTTTTTGTTTATCTAGTCCACTGTCAAAAGGCGGGGGTTCTGCGATTTAGAAGGAATATTTGGAATTTGGGACTGGCAATTTATGTTTCATGCTGTTATTCCAATGCATTTTTTTTTTTTGGAACAAAGGTGATTGAATCGAGAACTAAATTCACATGAGCAAATCGATCGGGTGGACTCATCAGGCAGCGGGAATTTTCAATGAAAAATTAGACAATTATGATTTAGGATAGTATTAATTTGGAACACTTTTTCTAGATTTTTTAATCTGATCATATATATATATATATATATGTAACTGGTAAACAATCCAAAAAGTTCTGAGCAACTTCCATCGTGTAAATTACATGACTGTATCAATGAAGCAATAATTTAAATATATGTTGATCTTGTTTGTCTCTAGCGTTGAAATTTCTTTGAAATTAGTGATTATTAACAAGTGCATGTAAACTCAATTTTGTTTTTTAATAAATGTTTTCGAGACCATAAATTCATTTTTATTGCTATTTTCTTTAAAACAATTATACCTGCGAAAGAAATATACCTGAAATTAGTTTAAAATAATTAATCATGACTATTTTAAATTAGAGTTTGTTTTAATTGAACCGGGAAACTCCATTTCACATTCTTTTTTTCGTACAATTAAACAAGCAATGAAACGCGTTTAGAAGAATTAGTCATGACTATAAGCCCACTGAAAATCCATGAAAAGATGAAAGGCGAGCGAAGAAACGAAGCAAGCATAGGCAATAGACCTAATAGACGGTAATATACGTCATGTTACCTGCATGTTGATATTATGCTTCCGACACGGACCTAGATCGTATGGATACTCATGACAAATAGGGGCAAATAGACGGAACACGTCCAACGTTACACCCGACGACGACTCGGAGACGGAGGACGACGAAGGCGGCGCATCAGCGTGACCGGGGACTAGGAAGTCCCGAACTCATCACAAGGTCATAAGGTAAGGTAAGGACATCCTTAATAAAGGCTGACAATTAGGAAATATATTATAGCTCTCTAGGCATGAATTATTATTAAGCATGTAATGCACTCAGCAAATTAGCAAATTTTTTAACATAATAATATTTTTTTTCTAAAATGTAGGTTTTTCACTTAGCATTATTTGCTTTCATTTAAAGCAATACAAGCCTGATAATTACTGTACATCTTTTATAGAACGAGGCTCATGTTTTAACTGAAAATACAAAGATCTAAGTCTATTACCTCTAAAGTAATGGAGAAAGCACTGAAATGAGTGTTTTGAAGGCGTACATTCTTACCAATAATTACTGCAAATTAATTGGGATCCCTAACAAACACGATAAATGAGTTACGTTTACATCTGTACAGAGGCTGCTATAGTTCCATGTATGTGGGTTTCGTCGTTTCAAAATAAGACAATTACCCGATAGCTGCCGAAAACAAATTTGGGTCTCAAACAAAGTTGAAATATATGTTAATTGTACACTAGAGTAGTGGCTGTAACCATTTCCGGGAAATGTTATCAGCCGCTTTTGAATAATAAAATTTAAGGATAACTGCCACAAACTAACTTAGATTACAACAAACTCATTTCGCAAATGAGCAGTGGATTTATTAATATCAGATATTTGGGATCAGTAGATTTTGAATTAGATAATTAACAAATAACCGCCGCAAACGAACTTAATCCCCATCAACACGAGAAAATCTGTAAATTTTTCAGCTGCGCAGCGAATGGCTGTGCTAATTTCAGGTTAGTATGAGTTTTTTATACATTATTTTATTACAGCGCAAGTTTGTAAATACAAATTAATGTTGATTTTTGCACCGAATATCTCCCCCAATATTTAGTTTTCTATATATTAGAAGGTTCTCTATTTTACTCAACACTCATCTAATATGTGTAAATATGATATGAGATTGGAGAAGCGACCACGAAACATTTCTCCAAGACCGAAGTTGATTTTGTGATTTTATCGCTTTTTTCGACAAATTTTGGCGGCTTTGTTCGCCCTTTTTGTCAAATCAATATTGGAAAAAAATTTCAGGCAGGTTTTTCGTTACAATTTTATTCAAACTCTAACTAAACAGTATAAGTTCAACATCATTTTCAACTATTGTGTTAATCCAATTCAAATGCTGTGATTTCGCAAAGTGGAATATTAAATAACAAATTAGTTCTAAAGATTACTTTGTTATGATATTAACATACTACATCTTCTCGAGACATGAGCTGCATTTTTGATATCATTTTTTATGTTTGCAAATTCAAAAAATATTTTGGGTTGTTTTTTGTCGGTGAATCAGAAAAATTATCGACTAAAGATTTTTCCGATGTTTTTCGGAAAATTTTAGGACAAATAATTTCATTCATATCTATTTTTTCTCGAAAAATCACCGAAAAATGATTTGTTAGTGTGCTTTCGGAAAATCATGGACAATCACTGATAAATGTGATTCTCCACCTGTCTCCAGAAAAATCATGGAAAATTACGGACATATGAAATATCAGTGCTTTTTTTTTAATGTCACTGAAAAATGATTTCGGCGTCGTTTTTTCCGGAAAATCTCTGTAAATGAAATCTTTGACGTGGAGATGCGGAGTAAATAAGGACGTATAGGGCCATGCTAGGGCTGGCAAATGCGTGAAAACTACACTGAGTTGAGAAGTGGCTGCGGATATACTACGGCGCTATAGAGTAGAATGCAGTGCTTCTAGCATGGTTTGCGACTTCGTAGCTTTTAGGCTTATTGCACCTGTGCATGTTTAGACTAAGCGTTAGTCCTAATATAATTAACCTCTTGTCTACGGAGACATTCATGGTCGTCAATGCTATTCGTGTACAGAGGCATGGGACCAAGAAACGCCTCTTATTATGGGACTAAGAAGCGTCTCTCCCCAGCGTTTCTTTTATGCAGAACACCCCGTGAATGCGGCAGCATTCTAGACCAGGAAAATTACGGACATATGAAATATCAGTGCTTTTTTTTTAATGTCACTGAAAAATGATTTCGGCGTCGTTTTTTCCGGAAAATCTCTGTAAATGAAATCTTTGACGTGGAGATGCGGAGTAAATAAGGACGTATAGGGCCATGCTAGGGCTGGCAAATGCGTGAAAACTACACTGAGTTGAGAAGTGGCTGCGGATATACTACGGCGCTATAGAGTAGAATGCATTGCTTCTAGCATGGTTTGCGACTTCGTAGCTTTTAGGCTTATTGCACCTGTGCATGTTTAGACCAAGTGCTGGCTCCAGTGCTAATTTAATTAACCTCTTGTCTACGGAGACATTCATGGTCAATTCATCGTATACAGAGGCATGTGACCAAGAAACGCCTCTTATTATGGGACTAAGAAGCGTCTCCCAAGCGTTTCTTATATGCAGAACACCCCGTGAATGCGGCAGCATTCTAGACCTCATGCCAGGGTGGCACTCATCTCTCCATTATTCTCAATGACTTCCCTTGTTCGTCTTCGCACCAGCGTATTCGTACCAGCTCGTCTTCGTACCAGCGAGCAACTTACAGCGAAACGTTTAATTAAACTTTACTCTCTTTGTGAGGAGAGGAAAGGATGTCCAAAGTGTGTAGTGTATTAATAATAGCGTTCAACGCCACTTAAAAAAAATAAAGCTGTTATTTTCCATTTTCCTGCTCATTCTTTACAACTTACGTAACTTAATGGGTAGAGTTTAAACAAAAAATTGCGCCTGCATGCTTCAAACTCCAGATTCGAAAGATACGACTCATGGTTGAACTAGTAGATAGTTCACCCATGGATACGAGTACGACTCACCATTAACCAAATAACACGCACAAAAATCTATGGGACATTGTTTTTTAAATGCCAATTTAAGGTGTACCGTGCGAATGAAACAAGTGCCTTCCTTCCTCAGTATTGATAGCACACTCACGTTATGTACTTGATAATTAATTATTAAATGATTTTAGGACACAGTAGTGAGGACTAAGCTTAAATTTTGTGTTAAACTTGCTGATGAATCAATACTATCAATCCTATAATTCATGTAGTCTGACATTAATGTTGGAGCGATCATGACACATACTGTTATGGTGGGATTGTTACGCGTCATCTGCCCTGCTGCTGAACCAACTACAACCCGCTCTTTTCAGCGTTTGGAGAGTGGAGTGGCTTACACGTTCCACCTTCCGAAGTTCCGGTCTTCCGGATTTCAGTGCTCTTAAAGGAGCAAAAGCCGATGCAGCTACGTCAGTACGTGACAGTACGTGTGCCTTGCAAAGTGACATGCTGGCCATCTAATTTACCTCTGTGCTTCGGCTTCCACTCAGAAATGTAAACAGAAGAACTAGTGATAAATGCGCTCATTTTTGTCAACAGTTACCTAATATTCCGTAAAAATTATAACGTAAAGAATGATTTTGTCCCAATCGGTAAGTCAACTGGAGTCCTGAAGAGTGATATAGCCTATACTTATAGTTATAGGGATAGCTAACTAGGCTCGTCCATACCTAGGCCGAAAATCAAGGCCCAATCATGCTATTTTGTTAACAATTAGATATTAGGTAATTACTACAACTACAGCTGGAATCTTGTGGTTCCAAAAATGGTTGGAAAGCTGAAAGCTCTAGGGTCTAGGCAGGCTGCGCACCACTATGCATAGTGGCAAACCAGAGCTTTTTTAGAATCAGTTCATTTTTAATTTCCTCATTTACTCAAGATTTAAACCAATTTCTTAAGTATGATAATGCTGGTATCCAGGATACTTTACTGGTCTACTTATAGAACTCAGAAATGAACTTGAGGGAGAGTCTAAAAAACTCTCTGCTTTGCCACTATGCCACTATGCAGATTGCAGAGGGTGGATGCAGCGTCAGCAATATATGGATTTTTAAGCCCAAAGCGTCGCCGGCCATTTTAAAGATGCGTCGCCGGGTAATTTTTAATGAAAAGCCATTTACGAGGCAAGATCTTCTGAAGGCGAAAATTTTGCCAATAATGCGTCGCCGTAGGTCTTAAAATCTTCATTCACTCTCTGCACAGTGGGAGCCTGCGCAGGCAAGGAACATCAACCTATCAATGAAATTTCAAAACTCAGTGAATTAAAAATATATTAGATTCTAAAATGCTATGGCTCCCAATCTCCCATGAACTATGAAGCTAGTTTGTTGTCTCCAATGAAATTGAATTTTAATTATGGGACTAAGGTTCACCGTCCACCGTCCCCAAGGGTCCACCGTCCAGGACGGTGGACCCTTGACCAACTTCTTTTTTGCCACACATTTTTTGCCAATCGCTGGTAAAACACACACATTATATTTGAGATTTGTTTCATTCTTTTTCTCATTATTTCAGGTGAAACCCTTACTGCTAAAAGCTCTTCCTTCTGCAAGATGGATGAGTGGCATCTCTGGATTGCTAGATGTTGTCATGAAAGATGGTGTGCGTGTTATTACTATGACTGACATAAGGACCAGGTAACTATTTTAATTACTTCATAAATCTGAGCAGGCTTGAATTATAGTGTTGAATATGTTAAGTTAATAGGAGTAGATAAAATATATTAAAATGAAGTATTTGCTATTACTTATTCTTTGGCTTGTTACTCATTTAAAAGTGGTGAATAGGTAGAAAGTATGTACCTATATGTATATTGGAAGTATTTTAGGATAAAATAGCCATGTATTCCTTTCAATATACTCTAATAATTATTCTTGGTGCATGGAAAGATGAATGGACTAGCATGCAAGATAAATTTTTATCTCTGAGATTCTACTGGAAGAATAAGTCAATGGTTGTGACTTGTGAGGATAGAAATTTCATTGAAACCCCACTTGTGCAGATAGGCACTTGGTGCTTGACCAACATTTTCTAATTGGGCTATTGTGCTATAATTATCAAAGAATAGCTGTGTTTCAGGAACTCGCTATCAATGAAAATGTTGGAGGCGCTCAACTCGGCTGTTGCAGATGACAGCTCATTGCGTTGCATTCTGCTGCGGGCAGAAGGCAATGTCTTCTCTGCTGGTCATAATCTCAAAGAAATAGTGAGGTGCCAAAAAAGAGTAGCTATGTATTTTATTTTTTTTCACTATTTGTTAATAGAATATATGCATGAGTGATCAACTCACAGTCTGGGGAATGGTCTAGTTACATTTGAATGTTCAAGGAGGTACCTACAGCATTTTATTATACAAAATTTTAATATTGAAATCCGTTACTGTTGTTAATGTAAACTTCAATTTAAAAAAAAAAATGAAGCTCTTCTTTGACCTTTTGCTCCAAAAGTTCATTTTTTATTTTTCCAAAAACTTTTACAAAACAGTTGGAACTTAACCATCATATATATTTTTTTTAATTATAACCATCATATATATTTTTTTTAATTATGCAGCACAGTGGCAACATTGAGTCCCACCGAGCTGTGTTTGAGTCATGCAACCGCTTGATGCTACGGCTGCGTTCACTGCCTGTACCAGTGATAGCTCAGGTGGATGGCATTGCTGCTGCTGCAGGATGCCAGCTAGTAGCTGCTTGTGACATTGTTGTTGCCAGTGATACATCGTCCTTTTCTACTCCTGGGTGAGTTCGTTTATGATACATTACTTTTTTACTGCATTAATAATAGGTAAATAAAATGATGTACCGTTTCAATGCATCCCTGAAAAGTTTTCGTTTTTCATTCTGATACATAGAGTTTTTTTCCACTGCTAGCCATATTTTATCCAGGTTTACTTGAGCGATTGAACTATTTGGTACTGATTTTATGTTTTTTAGTGTGGTAGTAGGTATTCAATTTGATGTTTTATTGGCAGTAATATATATAACCATTTTTCATCAAACTTCTTTTGTTCAGCGGGAGTGTTGGCATCTTCTGCTCCACCCCTGGTGTCCCGCTAGTGCGTAACGTGCCAAGGAAACTGTCATCGTACATGCTCCTCACAGGATCCCCCATCTCCGCACAAACTGCATTCACAGCAGGACTTGTGTCCCTTGTTGTACCTAAGGATAAACTAGGCAAGTATTTAAGTCGGCATGCAATTAGAGTGTTATGCTGTCTGTTATTCTGTTATGCAAGCTATCAGATTTTTTCGTGGAAACGAAATTAAGCTACTGACTTTCAACAAGCTCACAATTGACTCAATATGTATCAAAATCCACTGCGGTGTTGTCTGCAAAAATTTATTAAAATATGCTGACTACAGCATTAATTCTTGATACTGCAGTTGCATGGCGTGCAACGATAATTCGTTCACATCAATTCAAGTGTATCAACTCCTAAACGTTCATCGTTCTCTATGGTGTTTACTTGTGTGCTCTTTCAATATTAAATTTACAGCAAGTCAATCGTACACACAGGTCATAGTCGTAAACCTCGAATTCTTGTCTCAAATTACTGCCACGCTTGTGCCCTTTAGTTTTAAAAATTTGAATTACAGAAGAGGAGACGCAATGCGTGGTCGAAAGTATAGTGAGCAAAAGCAGGGCAGTCTTGGCACTTGGCAAGCGATTCATGTACCAGCAAGCAGAACTCACTGAAGAAAATGCTTACAAGTAAGTGCTTTGGGTTAGTTCATAGCAATTCGCTGGATTAGTAGTACAATTGCTGAGAATTGAATACATTTTTTAGTGTTCCATTGCGTAATTTTTTATGACCTCTCCCACTCTGGACGCGATTATCTGTCATAGGGTGGAGACAAGAAGCGAGCATTTAACCTGAAAAACGGATTATTTTCTTCAGGGCAGGAGCTGATGTAATGGTGAACAACATAAACATGGCAGATGGTCAAGAAGGCATCTGTAGTTTTGTCGAGAAGAGGAAGCCCCATTGGACGCACGAAGATTAGGAATTCATCACGTGAACGAGCATGCAGATTCAATGTTGGTAGCTCTTAGAGTGTTCTTCACGATGACGGTAACTGACTGAATTGACTGTCGAACCGATGCTATTTCTTTCATACATTTTATTTCATGAAAATGAATTCTTGTTGCCAATTGCACATTTGACTTTTATCATATTATGAGTGTGTAAAGATAGATCAAATGATACAGAAAAACCAATATGAATATATATTATCATACACGATATTTTATAATGTATACAAGAGGGATTTGAATAAATTGAAATACTGATCTACTCTTATTATTGGGCTCATTTTTCATCCAAGTTGACGTCCTTACTTGGTCCTAAAAGCTTAATATCTTCGCTCGGCACTGAGATCTTCTCTTCTAATTGTTTTTTGTAAACTATTCTTTGTTCTTCTTGATAATCTTGCAGACTGAGAAGGTTGACATGTTCATGCTCCATTTTCGTTATGAACGGTTTGCACACCGCTATATTGTTGATTATGTGCTCTGCAAACCACTGTTTACGGATTAATGCGAGGTCTAGGGTGAACGAGCCTTGTCGAATGCATCTAATCTGCAGGGTGTGTGCTGTGCTCCGCGCCATCAGCCCGATGTCGTTGATGAGGTTCAGCAGGTAATCAGCGTGAATGTTCACGCCAGTCACTTCTGCACAAAAAATTATTTTTGATCTTCCGAAATGGATGCCTGGATCAAGTTGTCTCGCATTATTTGATACATATTCCGTATCGGTTTCTATAACAATCAGAGAAGCTTGCTATTATTCGATCTGAATATTTTATAAGAACGTTATTTCCGTTATGTTCATTTAATCTAGAAGTTTTCTAACCAATTGAAAAGTGCGGTCGTTTGAATTCGATCAATTTTATTCCATAAAGAACCACTTCTTGAACTGCGTTAGGTCGAACCAGCCCTTTAGATAGCACTTCATACGCGGCCTGGAAATGAGAAAATTCATGTGACGTTACGAAAGAAGAAAACCGGTTAATCTTACGAACGAATTTATGAATGAATTATTATTAATCATGACGTTCTGATAAAAATGAAAGATAGCCTTGAATCGGAATTTTTCGTTCATTATTCTAAAATAGTCACAGAATAAAAAAACGCGATTAGGTGTTAACCGTAAACCGTGCACGTTTAAGCTTAATTTATTGCCTGAGAGTTTGGGAGCAAACCAAGTTGGTCGATAAGTCTTCTCTGGTTGTGACTCTGAATTTTCATTAGCACGCGCTCCAATCTGCTCGCCGTCACGTGGTCGTACGTCGTTCTTTCAACTGCGTTACCTGGTAAAAAGATAATTTCTATAATAAGTAGATGTAAGTCTCATTTAACTTGTGAATAAGTTAGAATGTAACATCTTGCAGTGATTTAATTGAAATGTGATTTAATTGATTTAGTGATTTAATTAAAAGATGCTCCACATCATTGCTGTGAAAAATCTAATTTTTGTTAATTTTCACGCAGATCGATTAAAAATCTACTGACTAGTAGAAAATACTACAAAAACCGAGACGCAAGACAAGAATAATTAACGGTAGAAACGTGCGGCGAAGTATACCGCGAATAAATTATGTTGAAATGTTCACATGCATTGCAAGTATTTACGTCTTCCATAATTTGTAAAAACATATTAAAAGTAAAAACATACAAGCAAAGCTAGTATTATTTACTAGTAATATGCGTACCAGTGTAGTAGTAATCCCGAGTAGCAACTCCAAGTTTGCCCTCGAGGGTGTAGGTACTTAGCAGCTGAGCAGCTTTCAGCTTCTTGGCCACTGAACGGCTTTCCTCGCCCAAGCCAATCACACACACACCTGCTCACAATCATCATCCGTGAATAACTCATTCGCAACGCCGTCTTTTCATAGTTAATCTGTTCTCATGAGTAATGAGATTAAAAGACCAGCTATAGTTTATGGTTAACGGTTTATCTACAAAGCGGGTCTATGAATTTGCAATCGTTCATTCATTTAAGAGGATGAGCTTACCAAATTTCTAAAAGACACGATGAGGCTTTGCTAAGACCTAGGTGCTTAACTACGCATCAACAACTTAGACGCGTAGGTGCTTTAGAACAATGGAAAACACAGTGAGTTATTCTTCAAGCTAAGGAAAGTATGATGACTGAAGAAGATTCAAAACAAAATTTGTATAGGTAATAGACATTCGAGAATTTGTGATGATGAAGAACTTAGAATTTTTTTATGCCATCACATATCATGAGATAGGTATGATTCAAAACCATTCCTTACCTGAGACTATAGGCAGCATCTTGTCTACAAAGGAGAAAGTAAAGTCAGCCTTGTGATACAATTCTCCAAGAGCCAGAGGATGGTACGTGTAATCTACGTGCTTGAGCGAGGTGTGGACGCCGCCTGCAAAAATTAGTTATTATAAATTGTGAATTATCCTAACTATCTCGAAACCTAAAGCAAAGGCAATATGATAATGTCAAAATAATTTCATCAATGCTAGGTACTAAAAAAAAGTACAGTAAGAAGCCTCAACGTACTTCAATTGGTAGATTGAGAACTACTGAAAACTTGTACCAAAAAAATTTTAGGGTAGACATTAACAAAAATGTGTATAGTAACCTTTAGCATTCCCCAGTTCATCTGGCTTAAAATATTTCATTTTGTTGAGTTCATCAGTCAAGTTCCAACTAATACAGTCAACAACTTTTTTCATGCTGATTCTTGGAGGTTTGTAGATGCAAAAGATGCCCTTCAAACAGCTCCATGCCTCTGGAGCAGTTCTCAGAAAAATCTGTTGGACTGTCATTGCCCAATGATGCACTTCTTCTATCAGTCTGAAAAAAGTGGATAGTGCTATGAAAAAATTACTGTAAAATTGTACCTAGTAATAAAAAAATTCGCAAAATAAAGTTTATGATGCCAATGTGAGAGAGAAGGATTGGAGTGTTGTCAAAATTAAATAATAGTCAATCGTATATTAGGCAAGGTGGCAAGCTAATGCTGAACAATTATTACTAATTGTAACTATGATCGTTCCATGAGGAAAATTTATTGGGCAGGTAAAAATCGGAATCATATGAACAGATGAATAGTTGCAAGCAGTCTAGGATAAAATTACAAATGTTTTCATTACATAAAACTATTACTGCATTTCAATACAAATAAGTTGAATTCAATATACTGCAATTTTATAAGAAGATATAGTATGTGAGAAAATATTAGTTATTGTAAATATTTTTAATATCTTACAGAAGTTGAAAGAAATTTAGTTCAATGAAATTTCTTCAAAATTCAAACCAGTCATGTCAGTCCAGCATAGGCTGATGGCTAATGTCTTGCTCCTTTGTCTTCTAAATAGAGAAAATAAATTTTAACAACTCCTTGGGGAGTTCTGATTTCTTCTTCACAACTGATGAGGAAAGTTGCAGCAGCACCATAAGCAAGGCAAGGAATTCCAATATTGATAGTTTTTATTATTCTAAAAGTGGTGTCCTCAAACTGCAAGTCTTCATGAGGTCTCTTAGTGCAGTGGTATTTGATGTATGGCCAGCAACCAGTTCGCAGGACGTGGTAATTTTCTCCATCAACCTGCAAAAGAATTTTATGATAAGAACAAAATTCTAAAAGATTTTCTCTGTATAAATTATACATTCAAAACAATAGCAGTTAAAGTGATGCATCATTAAAACCACATTTTAGAGCTGCACAAGTTATCAAGGTCAGCACATGTGATGAGTTTCTAAATGCTACAAAGAAAAATACTTATTACAAGCCACATTTGGAAAGAAATAGAATCAATTGACATGCTGAAATGGCAGGCAGATTTTTTTTAGCAAAAACTTGTTTGGCTTAATATCTATAAATACGCCACCGTAGGGCAGGCTAAGAAGGGAATGAGCAGTTTTGGCTAATTAATAATGAGCCAAATTTTTTAGTTTGGATTTAAGATATTTTAGAATTTTATATTAGATAACATGCACTATGGCTTCTAATAATGTTATTTCATTCAAGTTTAGCTAATTCATTCTGATATCACACATGGCAATTTCTTGCCAGTTGCCTTCAGAAAAATCTTGAAACTTGACAGCACTCAGGCTCAAATACAGTGAAATACTAGGTCTGGAAAATTATTTTAGACATAATTTTACAGGCTGAGGCTAGAGCCTACAGCCTAGAGCTGAGCTAGCAACATTGCAAAATTTCAAGTTCCTAGTCTACTGCCTACGGTCCTACCTACTGGCTACTGCAGCCAACGTGAAAATTAGGGGAGCGCTGCCATAGCCCAAAAATTTGACTCTTAAATCAGCCCAAGAGCCAATGCCAACACTCTACATGCAATAGAAATAGTCATCCTAACACCTATGCAGCTGTTTTACTTGCCTCATCTTGCCACACCAGCTTGAAACAAGCAATGCCTCAGCCCACAAGCTGATACTCCAAATGGATTACGCCCAATAGCTCAAACGCCATTACGCCAATGATCTAAGCCCATACCTTCACTTCTTACAAATGCCGTAAGCTACAGGGTCCGCAGACCGCACCAGACTGCCGTAAATGGGAACGGCCCCGCACCGGACTGTCGCATCACCTTACCCACTTCGTAGGCGTAAGCCCAGCCCTGACGTTCACAGGCTGCCAGTATGACAAATTGTCCTAATTTAATTAGGTAGCTAGAATTTCCAGTAAATTAAATATATTATCATTATACATTATTTATTTATACAAATACAATCCAATGGGATTGGCAGGCCGCAGCCCCCGGCCCCCCAGGCTCATACGGCAAACCCATGTGCTCATTTGTGCTGGTAGTACTACCCGTACGGCCGTACCCAGTAGCAGTACCTACCCACCGGCCACCGCGGCACCGCCACCAAGACACCAAGTCGTTTGCACTCGCCGCTCATTGCCTAAGACTACGAGTCTTCGAGGCTAGTTAGGTAGTGTAGACTCAGTACTCAGTAGAGTGTAGACGTTAGACCTACCCGGGTTGCCGGCACCGGCCACCGGGTAAACGTAAACCGAGGCCCGAGCTAGTTACCCCACCTTCAATCAACATGCACTTTCCATAAATCTCACCAGCCAGTTAAAATGGGATAATCCTCTCTGGTCACTGATTATGTCACTATACTTGACGAAATACGAAGTCCAATGCGGCAGACCTCTCTGTCTTAGGTGAGTAGAAAGGACCAGTGAGGACGTTGGTTTTGAAAGCTTTCCTTTGCCACCAAAAACAGTCTTGAACGAAGCTTGTGCAAAACAAGAGGTACTGTAAAACTTCCGGCAAGAATAGAAAAAAACAAAGGATTTACCGAATTGATTGACAAATCTATTGAATGGTCGATGGAAAATTAAATTTATTGAACACATAGGAGTTACGAAAAAGTTAATTTAAGCCGCCTATTGCAAGTGAGGGCAAGATTTATCTTATTTTCTATTCATTCAATTACGAAAATTCGGAAGCGAGCGGCTCTTCCGTAAACAAAACCTCTCAGATCGGATCTCAGGGGGTGTGAAGTTTTTGAGGCTGAGTTCTGTTCTGTGATCTAATGAAATATTTATGAAGAGGGACACGCTAATAGCAACTCTTCAATTATCAAGAACATTTTTCCAATGCCATTTAGCAATGGGAAAGAAGAAATCTCAATCAAGTTCATGCAACGAGCACAATTCTGCAGCTGTAAGTAAACGATGTGACGTTAGTAAGTTGAAAATTCACCAGTACATAAATGTACTGTTGAATTTCTTTCAATTGACAGTCTGCAGTCTGCACGGTACTCAAGCGAATCGGCTCCCCTGCCATAACAGATTTAAATTTCCCTAATTTAAAACATTATTTGTAAAAACTGATTTTGAACTAAATTCTGTACGGAATTTCGAAATTTGAAATTTTGAGCAAAGTTGAATATCTCGTTACGAATAAGATGTGATCGTTCTCAATTAAGAATCACACTTTAATATTTTAAATTCACTTTCAGTCCCTTTTTCTCAATCACTTGGTGATTGAATTATTAAGAATATAATTTTATCATTTTTATGCCCACCCTGGTGATGCCGCAACATGTTAGGGATTGTCATTATTATGGATGCGCCTTCAAATCGCTCCTGTGAATTGTATTTACTGTGTTAAACTTCGGGCAAATAAAATTTCACAAAGCTATTACATATTCATGTACATTTGTGCTTTCATTTGAAGCCTGGCGTTGGAAATATATAGGGCTGTTCAGCAGATACGTATCCACGATACTCATTGTCCTTCGAAAATACTTTCAAGTAAAACTTGATTTTCATTGATGGAATCAAGATATATAGAAAGGGGACGTGTAGAATCAAATAATTTGAAATGTAAAATTTACGTAGGTAGGCGTAAATTTTATTCGAATTTTACTTGTAAGTAGAGTGGCTCCGTGTTCATAGTTTATTGTTCAGTGTAAGTATAGTACCGGTATACGGTATAATTTGTTAGAGCATGGAGCTGTAATAATACGGAAAAATTTAAGAGCGTATCTACAATGCCTATCGTGTCAGAATATTAAAAAAATGACAACCAATTTACTTTTCAGGGAGCTGGAACTGTGGCATCTCCCATAACATTAGACAAGTCCGGTAATGTTGTCATCTCAGTCCTTGCCAAACCTGGGGCTAAAGAGAGTGCCATCACAGGTGAGTACAGTCGAGTTATTAGTAATAATCTATCCTAACTAATGAATTATGGCATTATGCTACCGGTAGTCATAGATTAAGGTTCGTTCACCTGGCGGAACGTGTGGCTGCCAATATAGGCTATCTACCTAGCTAGAACCTACCGTCAAATATTATTAGGCAAGTGGCATTGTGTATAAGGGAACTGGTTAAGTAAAGCGCTTATAGCAAGTGACTGTATCATAAATCAAATATGTTTGGCCGCTAGTACTAGCTATCACAACTGTCCCTATATAAGTGCCCATTTAGGAATCTTTTTATGAGAATTTAATAAATTTTTCTGAATGGATATAGGTTTCATTCGATTTACATTTTACGAGCAAGACAACGTTGCATCATCTAAACGAAAAAACAGTCCTAAGCACTAAATGATCTAACTATCTCGTATATGGCCAAGCAGGTATGAGTGAAGAAGGCGTAGGGATACAAATTGCCGCTCCGCCGCAGGACGGCCAAGCTAACGCCGAGCTCATCAAGTTCCTGGCCCGCGTGCTGCAAGTACGCAAGACTGACGTCTCTCTGGACAAGGTGTGTTATAAGAATTTTATTTGTTTCTATATATTAGTCAAAGTTAGTAATACCATTAGGAAAACATTAAATCCAATGAAAATATTTTTAGGCTTTGAAATATACGGTTGTATGCCAAGACAAATGCGTCAAGCATGTTTAAAATTACCTAACGTAGCTGGAGACAGGGGAGACCCTGATATTGTTCGGTATTTCTCAAACCTTTGCCCTCAAGCTGTAAATAATGTATCAGAAATTAGTCAAAAATTTGTCTAAATTTGCGAAAACATTTTCGGAACATCCTAGCTTTGACTGAACGTTGTTTGTTCTCGCGTTGCTCGAGGTACGTATATAATACTAGCAATTTGTGAATCCCTCGTCAAATCCGTCATTCTGAATCCAGAATCTCGTTATCTCGAATCCAATTAATAATTTTGAAACTGAAGTCAGTTAATTCAAAAATGTTCTTCCCGACGTACCTGCTGCATTGACCTCCCTTTTATACCTCGTGTTTGAAATTCAAAGGGAATAAATTTGCGTTTCCGAGTAACTTTATACATGGCAAATTATATATATAATTCCACTTGAACAATTCATCCTCCTCCTTACCTGTTTTTTACCGCACGTTTTCACCATTAACACTAAATTTTCATGCCGTCGTAATTTTCCTCCATGATAAGTAGCGTTGATAGGCTCCTGGATCTCTCCTATATCATTCAAGTGTAGCTCCAAACACTTTAACATAGTTCATCTACAGATATGTTAAAAATTATGTTTTTTACCCTGCAAAGATCATTTTAAGGCATAGAAATAAGTTGATGTTGCTAATAGAAAATTAGTTTTATGCATCATATCCGCTGGTAGTATTATGGTAATGTATTTTTAGCGCATTTTCTCATTTATGGAAAAAATGCACTATTGTGCTCGCCATGTCCGTCTGTCTGTCTGTCTATCCGTCCGTCCGTGACCTCAAGTTTTCGTCGACGAGAAAATGCGCTCTCTGACACTCACTGCAGTGAGTGCTGAGTTATATTTTTTTACTATTTCAGGGCAGCAGAGCGCGGCAGAAGCGCATCCTGGTGCAGAACATCGAGCTGCAAAAGGCCAATGATCTCATCTCCACAGCGGCCAAAAATTCTCTGTGAATCATTAACTTCATGCTAAGTGATAAAGAATAGCCTTAACTTTGTTCTCTTCTTATTCCATTCATTATTGAAGTCGCTTAGTCTAATGGAATCATTTCTTAAAATGTCGTCTTATACTCGATTGCCATGATTTAAGCTCTCTCGATCATTGCTCGATGAGAGAGATTGCTGTTAAATTTCTAATAAGTATTATTTTCACGAATACTCTTAAAAGTGCTCAGCGTTAGTGCCTCTGCGATCTACGCTAATATATTTTCCATTGATCGATCGCGGGAGGCGGGAAGCACAATCTCAGAAACGCGATGCCCCAGATTTCCTTACCTCCAAGTATCAAATGTAAAATAATTGATTTTACAATTATGTTATAATACAACTATTGCAGTTTTCCAATTAAAATCTCAAGTACACAACAGGATGTTATGGTCAGACGAGTTTTTTATTAAAGATGAAAAATCTAGTAGGGTTCAGTTATGACGTTTAAAACCGTATGATATCGCATGCCCTGTAAATACGTACAGTGCTGGACACGTGCAACTTCATCACAAGTCAGAAAATATTCGCTTTATCGGCAACAATTGTCCTTGAATATTTCGTGATCCCGACTTGAGAAGGAGATGCTCAAGTGGCCGGTCATCGAGACGAAACAAATTGTTCAATAAGCTCTCATTCATATAATTAGAAAAAAACGTTCTGACATTCGGACAACTCGTTATCAAGAGTTTCTGCATGTGCACCATTGGCTCTTATGTGTTCCAGTATCCTGTCATGAATCTAGTATCGGTTATACCGAAATTCCATCAAAAAATATTTGTGAACCTGTGATTGACTGGTTATTCTATGTTCACTGTTTTTACTGTCTCGCAAAAAAATTGGACGCGATGTGTAAATATAACACAATGGCCGCACAATGCGCGTGATGAAAAAATACAAGGTACATACAACAAAAACTTGCAAGTTTAGTATGAAATACAGAGGGAACTAATTTCCAAATGTTGTACCTGATTTTATTTTATACCACTCAATTTTGCAGGCTACAGTTGAAAAATTCGCTGCTGTGAAGCTTCAAAAACAAAGCACTTTGATGTTTTGCGGATCTTCACGTTGGAACTCTTGAAGGATGACTAAGCAAATGAGCTAGAAAGCGCTGGGTAACTATAATGAGTTTGATTATATGAAAAGGGTAATATTTTCAGTCAAAATCATGCCTATCTCTGTGTAAAGTTTGGACTACTAAGAGATTGATGGCTTCATCGGTAGATTATTGTGTTTTTGAGCTCCTGCAACTTTAAAGAGCTCCGCTGAACCATTATACTCATGGTGCATTATACTAATCTCCAAGCACATGGTATCATCTTGTACACGATGTAGGTAGAATCACCGAAGTACTCTTACATTCTGCTGTAGATATATAAATTTTTCAGAAAATTGTTCTTGTAATATACATTAAAACACAAAAAATAGTTATTCAAATCAGCCCCTATTGCTCATGATTAATTTTGTCAAGGCTTTGGGAAGCATATGCTGCGAAGGGGAATATTTTATCTTCACTCTGAGCGCTTGACACTGCACGTCCTTTCATGGTCACCACGCCTCAAATCCTTTGGGGCGGTCACTGATGAGCAGGCAAGGACGCATAAGGATATCGTTGAATTTTTGGTAAATTTAAAGATCTACTGAAGATGAATTGAGGAATTCGATACCCCTATAATCAAAATTTGTAATATATTTTCATTGGTTTACCGATGTGTGATGACATTAGCTATCATCATCAATTTTATGAGTTTGAATACTGGTCAAAATGTAACAATAACTCTCTTTGTCGAGCTACTGCAATAAGTAGAAGATGAAATCGAATACTTATACATCACCCATATGGTGTTGTAGTGTGAATGGTCATAGTCAGACTATATGTAATGCGAAAAAGGTTTCAAAATTGTTCTGCTCTGAGGCCAACAAACGGTGTAATTATTACATGCAGGAGTCTTACCACATTTCAAATCTATTCGAGAGTCTCATAATTTGAAATTGTCCGTGCCTGAAGTTGTAGTTGTGATATACCTAACTACTTAGCTGCGATAGTCATGAATAAGTTCGTGCATATCGTCAACTGAAAGGTTAGATAACGCTTTGCGTCATATTTTCCATTGTTGAATTCCCTGCATCGATTAAATTACAGTAAAATATTAAAAAATAAATTGGTCTGGTTAACCGTTAAGATTTGGCTTTCATATTGTTATTAGCCGTTAGGCCCGTTACAATGAACGTGGCGCTAGTTCAATGTTCTACTCAAAACACTTGGCAGGACGAAGATCGAACTTGGTCTTGGCACCGTCTTGAGTTTAAAAATACTTTCATATGCGTGAAGGTGATGCTATCTCAGTAGTGATTACTGAGTAACTTTTAACTGTTAGCGAGTTCAGCGCTTCAGCCTAGCACGACTGCACGAGCAGGACTGCAGGAGTGATCAGTGATCACTGATGCCAAATTAATAGTGTCTCTATCATAGGGAGTACAAATTAAAAACTAGGTAGCTAACAGTGTTCCTATTTTAAGGTGTTTTTACACAAATGCTGACTCATCGATTGATAAAAGAAGTGAACTTTTAGCCACAATAAAAAGTGAGAGTTTGGATGTGATACTGATAGGCTAGGTGTGACAGAAGTTTTACTTAAGAATCCTGTTGCAGAAGTTAAGCCAGTTGAAGTTGAAGTTGTTGAACTGTCTATTGATTTGAGGGAATGAGGGTTTTGACTGTTTTACTAATTTACAAACAGCACAGTGTCACAGCCTCGCAGGGGAGTTGCGGTGTGGGACTGCGGGTCAGGTCCAGGAAGTCATTTTGTGCTCAACTTTTCAATTTGAATTTAGGTTTGGACAAGGCAAGGGAATCAGTGTGCCAGTGTGGTGTCACTGGTGTGAGATACCACTTCAAATTTCAAAAGAAGGATAAGCTTTTAGTTGGAACTTGGAAAGTTGGAACAGTTTATAGATCACCTAACAGTAACATTGCAAACAAATGAAACAATGCAGCCACGAACAAGCTTTTATCTCGAGTAGCAGTAGGCGCAGTGTGGAATTCTAGAGGGATAATAAATTAACCAGTACACATAGCATATTAGTACTTATATCATTAGTCTGCTTATATCGCAAGTTCACAAGGAATTTAAAAGCAAAGAAAACGCCAAGAAAATTCACCATATCGATATTGAAAAAGACCAACATGGCCTCCAAAAATTTTATTCCAAATTTTATTGCAATCATTCTAATTTCCTACGCGTGTTATACATGAACATGAGTAAAGAATTACTGAACATTACGCAAAATAGATCCCTAACTTAATTATTTTTCAAGCTGATATCAATAAAACGATGACAATTGTGTCACTTGACGCAGGACTCACCAATTACTCTTAACACTGAGCGGTAATCCTTTCCGCAATATCCTGCATAACAAGCATCAGTAATTATGTTCAGACAAGCATCAGTAATTATTTTCAGACAAGCATCAGTAATTATGTTCAGACGAGCATCAGTAATTATGTCTGTTCATTAATCTTGCTCAAGACTTTAAAATTATTTTTTAACAATCATACACTATCATCCACACAATAAACATTTTCTGGAATGATATCAGAATTATAAAATAAGTAAACGTGAAATATATAATAATTTGAAATCAAATTTAACGACTTCCAGTCCAAACCAGTATAGGTACCAGTATAATATTGAACGTCGTACTAAGTTCTCGCTTGCGTTTGGATTTTTGTCTCCCTGTTTTCAAACTGGATTATTTCAAATTTCTTCTAGCATTTGAACGTCTTGCTATGAACCTGAAATGTGGCCACTTCTAACCGCCCAGAATTTCTTGGTTACCTTCACAGCTTGACGTATCGTCACTTCTACGGTTTCAAATCGTACAAATATTCTTGTCAGTTTTCAATTCCGACCTATTTTTGTTGCGTATAATACCCTGAGCTTTAACATAGCTAAATTTGTAGTTCCCTTTTTGAATTGTCTAACTACTAACCCGTTTACTGTTGATTATACGTACTCATTTGTCGACCGTTTGAAAGATTTTACCGATGTTCAGCACCTGACTATGGGTTCGTTCGATGTTGGAAATATGTTCGCGAATATACCTCTTACATAAACTATTGACATCTGCCTCAACTCTTTGTTCAAGGATGTGAATGATCTGGTGATCGGTCTTAACCGCAATCTTTTCAAAAAGATTTTAGAATTATCAGTCATGAACTCTTTTTTCATTTTCGCTGATAAACTTTATAAGAAAGTTGATGGTTTAGGAATGGGCCTTCCACTTGGTCCCACACTCGCTAACATTTTCATGTGCTTTCATGAGGTTTCTTGGTTGGCCGATTGCCCCATAGATTTTAAGCCTATTTTTTTAAAATAGGGATATAGATGATACCTTTCTGATCTTCAAGCATATCCCTCTCATGCGAGCGTTTTCTTTGATTATCTAAACCTCAAACATCCTTCAATAAAATTCACTATGGAATTTGAATCCAACAATTGCTTGTCATTTCTCGATTGCAAAATCACAAAATCCGGCGGTCGTTTTCAGACTTCTGTTTATCGGAAACCGACATTTACCGGCTTGGATATGAGCTTCTTTAGCTTTTGCTCTTTTCGTTTCAAATTGAATAGTCTTCAAACTTTGATATACCGCGGCTATAGGGTTTGTTCTACCTTCCATGATATGCATTTGGAATTCGAATTCATTCGTAATATATTTCAGCTTAGTGGTTTTCCATCGTGCCTTGTGTTAAGTAAAATCAAACGCTTCTTATCTAACAAATTTTCTGAAACTGTGACTGAATGCGATAGTAAGAAAATTATTTATTGCACATTGCCCTATTTTGGTAGTGCGTCTGAAACTATGTCCAAAGAATTAAAAATGCTGTGTTTGAAATATTTCCCAAATATAAATTTGCATGTTTTACTGGTAAATAATTTCAAAATTGGTTCTTTCTTCAGGTATAAGGACGTTATTCCTGCTCGGATGCGAT